ATAATAACCAATTTTGCATCACTTTTAAGGACACAGGCATTCCATTCCCGTGTTAGGTTAGAATCTGTTTTAATATATAAAAATTTGTTAAATTGAGCTACCGACCGAGTTTGCTGGTGTAAATTACTATGTTAGCAAATTTCCGTATAGGGAACAAGCTATTACCGTAGATCACATGGTAAGACCTGGACCCGGGACCGATTTGCTTTTTTGTTTTGAGGTCCCCAGAGGCCAAAAACACCCTCCGTTCAAATTCATATATATATATATATGTGATAGTGTGATAAATCGAGCAAAAATGATCCGATTTTGATGAAATTTAGTACAAACATATTAACCTATGTTTATTTTATTCAAACGAGTTCGCAAACCAGCATGATCAGACTATGGGAACAGGGGTTTCTGAGGTTTTTTTTTGGTAAAAATTGGTTATTCCCATTTTTTACCCTAAAAACACAAAATTTCTTAAATTCTTTCCAAACTATTTTGTAGAGCAAAACAGAAATAATTTTGTATATTGGAGCCTTGTTGTATGCCTAACGGATACAGAGATATAATATAATAAACTGTTTTAGTTTGCTTGTTTATGGATATATTTTAATCTAATTTGGCTACTGTCAAATAAAGAAGTTTTATATTGATTAACAATTTTTATCTTAGGAATAAAATGTTACCAACTGAATTATTTGTAAATACAATACAAAAACAATCTCCAGATGATCTTCATAATAACTAAATAAATATTAAAGAACAACAAACATATGACATCTTCTCTTCCCTTTTTTAAAGACATGTTCTTCTTGGTGGATTTATTTGTCTACCAAATGAGGAAAAACAATTAGGCTCAGTTCCAGGGTCATCAGATGTTTTGTGTTGTAGTTGTCTTAGCATTACCCCGTTGCGACGTAACATGCCTTCGTTTGTCTTAACTGTGTATGATCTTGGAGCTACTTTATTAACTATCTTCCCATCTTCTCTCCTATCAGGAATATACACGTTGCATCCAATAGTGAATTGCTTTTCATCTCTCACTCCATGCCGTTTATTGAAGTAATCTGCTTGAGTTGCTCTATATAGTTTGTCCAATTCTCTAAATGTCTTGTGATCTACCATTTTAGGCTTGAGATCTTTCGTCAATGACGGTAGTCGGGTTCTTAGTCTTCTTCCCATCAACAATTCCGAAGGGCTGTACCCTGATGGACCTGGTGTTGACCTGTACTCCAGTAATGCAAGAGTGGGGTCTTTGTTCTTTGTAAGCATCTTTTTAAGCGTTTGGACTGCTCTTTCAGCTTCACCGTTTGCCTGATGGTGTAAGGGACTACAACAAATAGTTTTAAACCCAAAATCGGCTGCAAAAGCTCTCCATTCTGAGCTTGTAAACTGTGAGCCAGAATCAGAAATTACGATTTCAGGGATCCCATGTCGAGCAAAACAGGCTTTCATCTTCTTGATTAGTTCATCTACAGTCATTGTAGACACATTTATCATTTCCAAGTACCGTGAATAATAGTCCACAACAGCCAAGTATTTGCCTTTCACAAAGTCAAAGTAATCAACTGCTATTCTTTGCCATGGATAGTCAGGAGTGTCTGATTGAATCATTTTTTCTGACTTTTGGTTTTGGTGTTTAGCACAAGTGTCACAATTTTCAATCAAGTTATGTATCTCTGTTGTAATTCCTGGCCAAAACACAGATTGTTTCGCTCGGAGGACTGTGCGTGTAGACCCGAAATGACCATCGTGCAGTTTATTAATGATATCTTTTCTAAGTTCAAATGGGATAATAATTCTTTCTTTATAACATATCAAGTCTTCTATTATAGATAGGTCGTCTTTAAAGGTATACCACTTTCTCATACTCTCTGGCACATCCTTCTTATATTTAGGCCATCCATTTTCTGTGTATTTCACCAACATCTGACATTCTTCACACAGGATCTGGGCATTCTTTATTTGTTCCAATCTTGACTGTGTTGCTGGAAAGTTTAAAGATATTACCTTAATGTGTGCCTCTACCTCTTTTGTGAACTCATCTGTAGAATCTGGGATCGGCGCTCGGCTTAATGTGTCTGCTGTAAACATTTCTTTTCCGGGAATGTGTTCGATGGAGTAGTCAAATTTCATCAATCGCATTTTGAATCTCTGAATCCTAGCTGGTATTGTGTCTAGGTCTTTGCTTCCAAGGAGCGAAACTAATGGTTTGTGGTCTGTTAGGATTCTAAATTTTTTTCCGACTAAAAACTTAGAAAACTTTTCTGCGGCCCATGCACATGCAAGAGCTTCCTTTTCTATCTGGGCATATCGTCTTTCACAGTCCTGTAAGGTCCTTGAAGCAAACATCACTACTTTGGGAGATTTATCTTCAACCTGAAGTAACATTGCACCCAATCCATATGCTGATGAATTGGCTATAACAATAGCTTCAGCATTTACATCATACTTAGTTAAAGATATTGATTCATTGACGGTCTGTATAATGTCTGAAAGGGCTTCTTGATGTTGACTTGTCCAACATTCTGTTCAATTCTGTCTCCACTTTTGAACGTAAAGGAATTGATATGTTTCTTGGAGCTCGAACCGAGTGCGGTTGAGCGTTTTCGTTCAATTCAATCTTATATTCTCCTGGAATGCTACCCAGACCAATGAAAAGCTCAGGGTGGCTAGTTAATACAGAGTCTAAGGTAATTGAGTTAAGTCCTGCAGTATCAGGTTTTCTGAGGGTTATGAGATTTAAAGATTTAATCGCAGGAATTCCAAGTAAAGGTTCATTTAATCCTGCAACAACATACACCTTTTCTTTTACCATTTTCCCATCGTAAGCTATGTCTGCTATAAACATACCTCTTACATCTAGTTCCCTCTGATCAGCATTCCTAAGTATACGGTCAGATTTCATAAGTTTTGCATGAATTACATTTGAAGGAATGGCTGTAACTTCTGCGCCTGAATCAAGTTTCGCTTTAACTAACTGGTTATTGATAAATATTTCTACATACCAAGAACTGGAGTCATAGCATGAAGCATTCACAGGTCCTAAATATGCTACTGAAGCTTCAGTGTTGTCAGGCTTGTCCAAACGTCTTATTTCGTTGAGTCTCTTCGTGTTGTCCGTTGTTTTAGTCTCTAATAATCTGCTTCTGCAATGTTTGGCAAAGTGACCGATTTTTTGGCAGTAATGGCATGCTAAATCTTTAGCAGGGCATAAGTGCCTGGGGTGCATTGGACCTCCACAGTTCCAACAACATTCTTTCCTAGCTGTCTTTAAATCATGGGTTTTGTTAAATCTTGCACTTTGTTTTTGGTCTGATTTGATTCGGTCAACTTCTGCATGTTTTCCTTGGCATATCATTTCTAGTTCAGCTGCTTGTTTGCGGATAGACTCTTTTTGTTTGCACTTTTGAACTGCTTTTTCCAATGTAAGATTTGAATCTTCTTGTAATTGGGCCGATAAACGTTTATCAGTTATACCCACTACAATTCTATCACGTATTAGTTCTGCTTTAAGGTTCTTGAATGAACAGTGTTCGGCCATTGAGCTTATGTCTGCCAGAAATGTATCAAATAATTCATCTGGTTGTTGTGATCTTGAATTAAACTTTGCTCGTTCGTATATGACATTTCTTTTGCCAGTAAATATGTTGTCAAAGGCTTCTGTTACCGATTCATATGAGGCTTTGTCATCTTCTGAGAGGTGTGCTGTTGATAAGATATCCTCAGAATCAGGCCCCATACAGTAAATCAAGCAGCTTACTTGTTTTACTTGAGGTTCATTGTCCAGTCCTGATGCAATTTTATACCTTTCAAATCGCTTGAACCACTTTTCCCATAATTGTGGATATTTGGAATCAAAAGGTTCAGGAGGTTGAAACATGACTGATGTAGTCCTATTTTGCTGCTGTCTTGGTTCTAGAACATTATTTGTCTCTGATGATTGATTTGATTTGTTTCCTCTGATTGATAATCTATTGTTTTTTGGCATTTTTAAAAAAAACTAAACCGCTGCCACCATGTCAAATAAAGAAGTTTTATATTGATTAACAATTTTTATCTTAGGAATAAAATGTTACCAACTGAATTATTTGTAAATACAATACAAAAACAATCTCCAGATGATCTTCATAATAACTAAATAAATATTAAAGAACAACAAACATATGACAGCTACTTTATTCATTTCATACAAAGCTATCGACATTTCAATAAAAAAACACACCTCAATAACCCCTGTAAACACACTGTAGCAGCAAACCTAAGCACTCATTAAAATTAATGTTCATTTATATAGGAAATAAATCTGACTCTTTTAAGGGAATATTTTAGTAGAAATCCAGCCAGGAGCCTTTCTGCTATCCTAGTCCTATCTAGCTGCTATCCTCCTTATTTAATAGCTGTATCAATAGTCAAAGACACTAAACACTGCTTACTGACCTGCCAGTCGGGATGAGGCAAGACTCTCAGACGGAAGGGAGGGTAAGGCGTAGCTTGGACTGCAACACTCTTCGTTCCTCCGTCTCCTCCTTTCCTCTTCTCATCTCCACTGTCTAATTCTATCGACTCAAACTTATCCTTCCCATATCCTATTACTCTTTGTCCCTCTACTTTACTGGTCTTTCCTTTCTTCATCCCTTTCTCAACATCTGTAGGGATTGAATAAACAGTCTGTTTACTCTCTACAGGAGCTCCATTCAATTTGGGTTCCTTCGGTTCTTTGGTTGTGTTGTCTCTTTTTAACTTCTTAACTTTTTCGTTTATCCTTTCCATGAATGTTTTATCCCCTCCTTCCTTTCCCGAGGATTTCTTAGTTTTGACGTAATCTTCATGGTCACTATCTCTCTCTAACTCATCGGCAGAGTCGTATCCTCTTGAGTTTTTCGACTTTTTAAAATTTGCGGAGTTCTTATCACTTTTATCAATACTCATATCCTCTTCAGTTTCTTCATCAGACAGGCTCCGACTTCTGCTTCGTCCTCTTTTCTTCACTTGCTCGTTGTATGTGTTTGTGTTGGTGGCTTGTTTGCTCTTCTTTTTGTCGTATACTCGCCCGATGAACATTTTTTCTCTTTTGCGCTTGGAGTAATTGTGAGAACGTCTATTCCTCGAGATCTGTAACATAACATATTAGACTAAACATTTGCTTTAGAATATTTTTTATAATTTTTCAAGCTTCAACTTTTTTATATTTTATCAAGCTACAAACAGCTTCTCTATTCTTTTTTGAAAAATAACACTGACAACTTCATTGGAAGGAAGCAATATTGATTCATTTACCTCTCCTGATATTGGATTTAAAGAACATTACCAAAATCAGTGTGATCCAAACCTCTTTACCTTCCATAATTTTGAGTTAACACATAATGATGCCTTAAACCATATTAGTCTAGTCACAAAGTAATTCATATTTGAGGCGAGCGTCCATTTCACACCATATCGTGTTGCTATGACAAGACTATTTCCCTACATTAAGGTGGGAACTGGCTGGAATAGTGAGGATGAAGTAAACAGCGACGTCAAATTAGAACTAGCTAGCTAGGCCACAAAAGGAGCTTGTCGGACACATTAATTTACAGCACAGTGAAGTAAAGGTACAGAGGAAACATTCGAAGGTGCACGTAAGTGGATTCTAGCACTAGTAGCTATCTATAACAATGTTCAACACCCCGACCCCTTCGTATACTAAATCGCCCACAGTGGAGCAAGACCCTCTGGCCTGTCCGATAGGAATTTCCGCAAAGTGCTCTTCGCATGGACACTTCCTTACTTGGCACAATATAAAAAAACATACGATCATCCCAAAAGCAAGATTCTTCTATACCTTAGTTCTCTGTGCACAAGCAACCCTTGGACCTGCAAAACTGTGCATTATTGACATGATTTCCCTATAGATTATTGTAACATCATAAACAACCCGTAGTAAAAATGTCAATAACAACCGTTAACAGATCGTACCCACCTGTACAATAACCTGTGTGTGCGGACAGCTGGGGCGTATGTGTGAGGAGGTGGAGGGGATATACCCAGGTATCGGAGGAGAGATAGTTTGTGACCGGAGGTGCGCAGAACTGGCGACACTGTCCGGTATAACACTGGGGTACATGGGCAACACCGAACACCTACCCTCCCCAAAACTTGTCCGGTTCGGAGGCATTTCAATATTTTTTCTGGGGCGATGTGATTTAAATTAACTGGAATTTATAGTTCTGATGATTCCATCTGTCAATCTCAATGAAAGTCTGAAATGCTATTCATAAAGCTTGCAAAACGCTCAACAAGTTTTATTCATTATTTGAAACAAATAATGCATTTATGAAATAAATAAAACTAATCTAACAATTACCTTAATCTCAATGACACTCGTAAAGCTTTTTATACCTGTCAAAGCTTTTTTTAATCTTGACATAATCTCAATACATTGTATTGTCTTTCCTGTTAAAAAGTTCACCATCTACTCAAAATTTTCAATTAAATAAAAATTCAAATGCATTATTGTGTTGAAAGGTAAAATATAAGAGAAACTATTGTGTAACTAAAGACATTTTCCTTCAAAAGAAATTAAAATTAATTTGATCTGTATAAACTGTGCACTTTGGAAATATATAAAAAACACACTTTTGTTTTTACTCAATTATAGAAAATGTATAACTCTTTTAACCATAAAGATGAATTTTTGTGTATTGCTTAAAAAAGTCCTGTTATGAAACACTAAAAAGACAAAATAAATTCCATATATTTTCCCAGCATATAAACATATATTATGGGGTATTATGAATTTTCACTTTTACTGAATTTTACAAACAAATGAGTCAATTTAAAGCTTTTAGATCTTATAAATATATTCAATTATGGAAACAAGAACTGGCATTAAGATCATGGAGTTTCAACTAATGTTTGATTGAGTTATTTGCTTGAGTGTTGAAATCATACATTTGGAACCAGTAAATTTTAACTTTCAGTCTGGCAAATCGTTTTGATTAACTATGTAGCCAAAATTAAGCTAACTATGTACGGTCACAGAAAACATACTACTACAACCCAGAATGCCAACTGCGTGGTAAAAAGCATTAAGTGTTTTGAGAGAGCTTTGCCTGTCAATCGTAGGCAGCGCCACCAGCGTTGCTATGCTGAGTGCATGGCAACGCTGGTGGCGCTGCCTACAATTGACAGGCAAAGCTCTCTCAAAACACTTAATGCTTTTTACCACGCGGTTGGCATTCTGGGTTATAGTAGTATGTTTTCTGTGGTACGGTACCAGTAAATTAGTTCTAAACTAAATGTCATTCAAATTTAATTTAATCTCAGCTCATTTTTTCTAAGCTATTGCACATACTAACTCTTAACGAATGAATAATGTTTTAAATATTTCCTTTGTCCAGAACTTAATTCTCTAAATAAATGTATAACTAAATATACAGGGTGACCGTTAAGTCTTAGGACGACTTTATAACTTTTAAACGACAAACGATATCACAACCACATTTGGTATACCGTTACTGGAAATTGTAAGCTACTTTTCTGTGTACATGGTGGTCGGATATCACCTTTGGGGGACGGCCCGTCGGGGGTCAGAAGAAAATCTTTAATGACAGCCTATGTTGAGTTGTACATCAATTTAAAGGTCTACTTCAACTGAAAACAATGCCGCAAACCGCACTTCAAAAGGTTGATCCTGCGCAAAATGGCAGATGTTCAAAGATTTTCAAAATTAGCCAATTTCTTTAAATTAAAACACTTTTTTAAATCTTTAAATAGCTGTCTTTTTTTAACGGATGGTCCTGTTGAAGTACGGTTTGCGGCATTCTTCTTTGCTTAAAATTCCCTTTAAAATGATCCCCATAACTTCACATTCAGTGATCCAAATAACTCTTCAGGGCGACGGCCCACAAGGAGTCGGAAGTAAATCTTGAGTGGAAGCATAGGTTGATATGCACATCAAATTAAAGGTAATTATTTGTAGAATACAATGCCGCAAACCGTACTTCAAAAGGACCATCCGTTAAAAAATGATAGTTGTTTAAAGATTTAAAAAAGTGTTTTAATTTAAAGAAATTGGCTAATTTTGAAAATCTTTGAACATCTGCCATTTTGCGCAGGATCAACCTTTTGAAGTGCGGTTTGCGGCATTGTTTTTAGTTGAAGTAGACCTTTAAAATGATGTACAACTCAACATAGGCTGTCATAAAAGATTTTCTTCTGACCCCCGACGGGCCGTCCCCCAAAGGTGATATCCGACCACCATGTACACAGAAAAGTAGCTTACAATTTCCAGTAACGGTATACCAAATGTGGTTGTGATATCGTTTGTCGTTTAAAAGTTATAAAGTCGTCCTAAGACTTAACGGTCACCCTGTATATAAAATTTATGATAAATATAAAATTTGAATATCTATAAAATTTGATAGTTTAGCACTAAAGTTATTTTTCCAGATCAATTTTTCATAATATGTTACTTTTTTGTTACTTTTTAAGAACATTTGTCACACTAGAAAACTCATTGAAGATACCTGACAGTTTAAGGTGTTATTTTATTAATGATAGGTAACTTAACTCATTTTTAATTCAACTTATAACACCTAATATCTGAGTTCATGTCTAATTCTAAATTGGGGATTTTTAAGAACAACCAGTTGAGCAAGGAGTATTCCATAAACTTTGATTAGCATGAACTAAACATGTAATGTTTACACATTTTCAAACCTGGCCCTCATTTAGGTTTCAAGAAAATTTAGGCACTTTAGCCGTTGTATCCGTTCTATTTATTTACATTGTATTTTGGTGCCCTAAACTTTTGCACTGTAATAAAATATTTCCGTCCTTCTTTTGTAAATACGGTATTGTTCGGTAAATGTATATTTGTTATGTGAAAAGCAAAAAAGGGACCTCTTGTCGGCATTGTAAAATTTTCAGTATGTCCAATATAAGTAATTAATGTCGAAAATATCGAAATTTGGTTTTTTATCGTTTGTTATACCTCATTTAACATAGAACAGGACAGTATTGGTTAAAATATGGAATTAAAGATGTAAAAGGTTTAAATAACTGCACTGAATAAATCATTTTGTTACCCTCTGCACGGTCTGAGAAAAGGTACCTCTTGCCGTTCAATGTTATTTCGCCATAACGACAAGAGGTCCTATCTAATATTCACTTTATAAACAGACTTTAGTCCAAAAAAAGAATTGTTCAACATTCTAGTGGACATTTAGAGATCTACAACAAAGTTCAGTTTACAGAGAACAAAATATCTCATAAATTTTGCGGCCCCGACAAGAGCTACCTTTTTTGATCTTATGGAGAAATAACATAGGGCCGACAAGAGGTCCCTTTTCTGAAATGTAATTTTTACGACACGCTTCGCTAAAACAATTATTTAAATGAAAACTACCATGTGTTAAGACCAAAATTGATATTGCCTCCAAAGAGGACATTATAAGTTTTCTTTTGATATAAAAATTCATAACAAAATTTCAAAGTCCTATAACTTTAACAAAAAAAATCATAGAGGCATGGGACTTGCACCAGTGATTAGGAATTTAATAAGGAATTCAAAAATATATATACAACTCAAAATCAAAAATTACCGACAAGAGGTCCTTATTCGCTTTCCACATCACATTTGTTTGTGTCTTGTGAACTGTATGTAGTTTTAACTAAACGACGTCCACTGGACCATTTTGAGCTGGAACGCCTGATGATAGCACAACTTTGTGCTGAAACCTAGGTCACAGTAACCAACTTATTTTGAACTGGAGACTGCAGGTAATTAAGCCATTATATTATGTTTTAATTTACCTAGTGGGAAATAATTGCACTGATAAATCCTAATCATGCTTACTTAAAGATGTGAATATTTACTGATTTGGGAAAACATGTTATCAAACCAAAAACAACTCTGCACATCTAAATATGCTTGGGGGTACGAGATGGCAAAAATCAATAGAATTTATAAAAACATTATGAACTTACCAAACAGTAGCGATAATGTTTAAAACAACCAAAGAGTAAAAGAGACGGAAGTTGAAGAATGCCAATAGTTCAAAGAGGTGCCTAACTCAATTTGTTGCTAAAGGGTTGATCCTATTACAGCAATCAATACTTGAATATAGCCTTACGCACTGAAGCCTGGCTTAGCCTCAATGGCTGAGGTTTACAAATAAAATTAATGCTTCACTTTTTTTAAATGAGATACTTTGTTTGCACAGAACGTTCAATAAAAATTTGATTTAATACATCAGAATAGGCGTTTTTTTACGATTATCCATAGATAATATATGGATGAAATTAGTGGTAATACAGTTTAAATCAAGCTTTAGAGTAGGCCTATTCCAATTATTCTTTGAGTGAGTATAGATGTATATGACATTTTATTTTTAAAGTGTTAGGCTTTTAATGTGTTGATACAGGCTACTTTGTACAAAGTTAGCACAAACATATTGTTTACAGTTTCTAATTGTCTTCTTGAGAAAATCTAAATAATCATTGTTCCTTGTATTATTATTCTACACAAATGTTACTCCTTCAGAATTTTTTTTTTTACCCAATAATTAAGAATTAATGTACTGGTATGATCCAAAACTGGTGTGAATTCTAATATTTTTATGAACAGCGCTTTACCTGATGATCTCAACATATTTAGTTAAAATCCTAACAAAATTTTTTAAAGTGGGTTATTATATTACCTATCTATACAGTACACTCTCCTCATAATATGACTCCTTATTTTAAAATGGATTCAATATATACGCAATAACATGTGATCTCATACAGGGTGTTTCAGAACACCCTACCAATATTTTTTGTTCCTGGCTAGGAGTCATAACTAAATATCATATTTAAATTGTCCGGGAGTCCTTAGTTACTCACATAGCCGCCATTTTGCTATTTTCCCTTATTATTTTTTTCCTTTATAATAGTTAAACTTAGGAAATGTAAACTTTGCACAAACATTTATGATAACTAGACAAAGCTACTAAAAAAATAGGAAAAATGTTCATATTCAAAAAACAAAATGGTGGCCATTTAAAACTTTGTTTCTTTAATAACTTAAAAACCGTTGATTTTACAACAAATTTACAAGAATAACTTTTTTTAAGCAATTTAATTACAAATCTATTGACACCTTATTGGATTGGACGAATATTAACTGAGATATGGCAGCTTTAGTAATACATGACCGCTGGAGGTTAGTTTCAGTCTGCCCCAACAATGCAACAGTATCTATCCTCTTTAAAGGTTATTTTTAATAGATTTTAGATTATTTCAAAATAAAAAAAATATTGCATAACCCTAAAAGTATATTTTTTTTATCAATTATCTATCATTAGGATGGCTTAAATATTCACTCTTTTTACTGTCTTTAAAATTCACACAAAACACCAAAACTTTTTACAGTATATCAGCTGTGGTGAAAAATCAACCTACTTGTCTACAAACAAACCAGCTGATTTTATTGTTGTCTGAAAATGTTATTGTTTATTCAATGTGGTCAGTTCCTGTAACGTTTTACGCTCACTTTTATTAGCTATTTAAATTTACTATTTATTTAAAAAGCAACAGTGTTATTAATTAATTATTTAAGAAAATATGTCTTTTGACATCTTATCAGCTGGTCCTACACTCATCTCCATTCATACTTGGCTTAAAATACCTACTTTGTATGGTCACCATTTTATCGAAAAATATTAAAGTATTAAGTAAGAAGCATATTGTTGATTGTAACCAGTTGAGATTGCCTGACAATTTTATTGTTATATTTGGGGGACCATAAATTCAAATTTCGGATTGATATTTTAAAACAAGTTTTGTTATAAGGCTTATAGTAAAAAAAATTTTAATCCTCTTGCTAAACCAAAAACACTATGCTAATATAAAATTCCTTGCATTAATTTTAATTAAGCTTATAGCCAACTATTTTTATGTATCATAATCAATTTATGGAGCATATATTTAGTTTAAATACGTTTTAAATTTTTTGCTTTAAGTCTACTCTTTAACATACTAACTAACATAACTTGTGACCTATATAAGCAAACGGCGAACTCCAAAATTTAAATTCCGCTGAAAAACCAGGCGCACTAACAAAAAGTAATTTGAATTTCGAAGAATCTTTTGGGCACACACCACTAGGTTCACAACATAAGTGTAGTAGGAAGGGCTTGTCGGGGTTAGGTTGCATGACGAAGAGCTAATTGTACTTTGTAGCTCCGACATACTTGTAACTCCTGTCTAACTTTAATGAGCTCGGCCCGTCACCCATCATCCATACTGGCATTGACGGAAACGCACAACAAACATACTAGGAACATAATTATAAACATTTCTACACATTTATTTATTCATACTTATCACATAAAGGAAATGAAAGTTGGTTAACTGAACATTCTGTGATAAGAGTATGTATGGTTTAGTTGGGTTTTGTTTTAATAAATACAAATAAGAATATAGTATAAAAAACTCTGGTAGTTTGCTTTTTTATGGATAGCCTATATTTCGTTCACTTTCAAAAATTTATATGCTACCTACATACTAAGATATCAACATTTTACTAAAAAAACACACATAATTACCATCTTTATGGCAGCAAACCTAAGTAGGGACTTATTAAAACTAATGTTTTTTAAACAGAAATTTATGTGATATGTTTAAGTGTTTCTATATTTTAGCGAAAATCTAATATTCTAAGCAAATGGAAAATACTGTAACTTAGTCTGCAGGTTTGCTGTAGCGAGGGTATTTTGCCAATACATTTTCTTAAATATTTATCAAAAACAAAAGAGAATTGTCTATTGTTTAACCTGCAACGGAGTAATGCTTTTGTTAAATTTAGTTGAGATTTAAAAACTGTAATTGAAGAAATTTCCTTAAAAGAGGTTAAAGTTGATCTGAAATAAGACTTCCCTTTCTGTGGTGGAGGAAAATTTGTTATCAGATATAAAATAGAAAATGTAAAAAAACTTTGATGTTCTTATCAAAGATCGGGTGTTTTTTTTTAACAAATTATTCAATCATATTTCTAATAAGTTTTGTAATTCCTCCTAAACATTAAAAAATATTATGTATAAACAGGAACATAATGGATAGTCTTTTTCTTCCAGTATTGTGTAATGTCATAGACAATAGGGCTAAAAAGACTGATTCACTTAAATATACATGTACAGTGTAATGTTTATTATTTATTAGGTAGATAGTGACCTTTTGCAAACCTACTTTTGCTTTTGTGAACGTCTCAAGTTTTTTTTAGTGGATGAGCTTGTATAAACTAAAAAAATATAACAATACACTTTTAGATACTTTTAGGTAGGTTAAAGAGAGCCATGGGAGTATTAACTACTTTTTGTTTTCTGTATCTGCACCCATTACCTTACGCACCTTTTTGAGGATTTCACACTATAACCTTGCTGAATTATATTATGTGTATATAGTGTAAAAAGAATAGGCCTATGCAATAATCTCCCTGAAGATGTCACACTCCATGGCGAAATATATTGAAGGACAGCATAGATTTTCTACATGAACAAAGGCTACAAAAAAGGTATGCCTTAACTTAAAAAAACCAACATTGGCTATTCAGAATGGAGTATGTTTAACAGTTTTAAAAGCCTACCTTGCAAAGATGAGATGAGAATGACAGCGACTGTTAGTGGATTTTACAGCCTTGCTTAGAGCCTAGTCTGGCACTGACAGCCTTCATGATCTGTTCATAATGGCGCATATTGTTGTAGTGATGCGCCGTCTGAACCTCCGACCGAGGGCCCGGATGGCGTTTGATGCCTGGCGCATGGACCAGAAAGGCACCGTCCAAGATCACAAAGCGATAACCGAGCAGACACATCTCATGCATCTGAAATAACCCGAGGGGCAAATAAAATGAGGGATTGGGGGGGGGGGGGAATATGTATATTTATTGCAAATTGGGTGAAATATGGAGTTGTCCAACTGTTGTGCTAGGGCCTGGAAATAAGACCCTAGCCGTATGGAAAAATGGCGTAGGCCTACTATCTTCTGCTACCTTTAGGCTGCGGCCACACGGGCGTTTCTTTCACGCACAAACGCAGCGTGAAAACACGCGAAAAATTAAAGTAGCATTGAAACAAATGGGCGCCCGCTACTGCGGGAAAACACACTGCGTGTGGCATACCTCATTACGTTTAATGCTGCTCATATTTCTCGCGTTTTTTCACGCTGCATTCTTGCGTGAAAAAACGCCCGTGTGGCCGCAGCCTAATAAATGGTCATTTAATTGGAAACGTTGGGGAACCAGAGGGTGGAGATCCTTCACCCAGACCAGAAGCAAGCCAAGCCAGCTTTGATTACGTATAAATTAACTAGAATATTGAACTATTAGCTAACCTTCTAAATGAAATTGTTAAATACAGTGAAAGAGTATGTTATATTTCGAGACACTAATTTAACTGGCCTGTTGCTTTCACTAACTCCTTATTGAAAATATCTGGACTCTTAAGGTGTTTCCTGAATGAATTATTTCTAAGGTTTCAACGTGGTGATTTTTTAATGTCTCGTGAAAGGATTAAGCTACTGTAGGCTACCTTGTTAAACGAGGTATATTGTCAATCTAGCCTGACATACTTAAGGTTAAATACTGCAACGGACATTGAAATCACAAATGTATAACCTTTAAATACAACTTTCGGTCCATGTAGGGTAGCGCTTTTGATTCACAATATGAAGTACTGGTAAGAAAGACCATCAAATAAAACAACCTTTTTTCACACATAATTGTTCGTCTTATCTCTTATTGTCACTGTTATTTGTTTTGCCCACCTGAATCATCTTGTCTTGTTTTCCTTCCCAACTAAGCAGCTCACTGTAGAGGGGTTCTTCATTGGTTCCTATGTAGATCGGTTCCCATCGATGGTAGGGGAACTCTCTCTTGACTACCAACATTGGCTGAAACATAAAAATCCCACCAATCAATAAAAAAATATATATAAAAGAACACTCAATACCTACATTTTATTTTGTTGCAAAAAAATAAATCCATCATTATCTTAAAAATGAACTTTGATTTTATTTAACCCCGAATTGTCTAATTCTTTGCAGGACCGGATTCAATCATGCGTGCACCTTGGGGCTATGATAGAATCCATCCGAGGTAAGAGCGTCTAGGGCCAGCACCCCTGGTAGACCGCGGGGGGGGGGGGGGGGACATTTACTCCCTGGATTTTTCATTTTTTTTCATTTGGACCCACTCTGGTATGAGAGCAGGTATACTTATGTGTAAGGATATTAACTTATGAATTATTTAAACCAAAACATATCATTTTTTTACAACCATTAGCCAATTAGGGCCTAATAACTGCACTGCATTTCTTACCACACAGATACAAAGTGTTAGGACTACTTAATAAATTTCGGGACCAAACACCTAGGTTACATAGATAGGTTTAAGTAGTTTCACTTGAAGAGTGAATAGGCCTAAAAGCTTTCAGTTCAATGAGTAAGTACAATTAATTGACAAAAACCAACCTGAATTGAGTTATCTGTAGAAGTGCTAGAGTGGTGTATCCACCTCTGAAGACCAGGAAATCTTTGGCAGTGTAAACATATCCACCGATGAAAATAAATTGCCCTATTTTGAGAGTACAAGTATAACAATTCTGACTTTTTTTCTGGAATGTTGGAAATAAAATGTTCAACTTCAAAAACTGGTACGACATAAACCAGATGTTTTAATGGAACTTTTCCATCACTTTTCAAATGAAATCTTGACAACATTTTTACAAAATGTGATACTAAATGTCTGCTTGGTATCAATTCAATGTCAGACACGATAACAAATTTTGTTAGAGCTCTAGTTCTAGCTACATTCCTTGCAACGTTCACTGGATAGATCAATTCTTCTTGGTTTCTAAATGTGTTAAGACTCCTACTAGCAACAATGGATGGTACTGAACACCCTTCAGGGACAAATAAAGTTGGGTGGCAGGATAAATGATCAGGAGGATGTTCTATAGGAAATACAAAATGTAAAGACACTTTTGACATTTCAGGAACACACAAACATAATCTTTGCAAGAGGCAAAGAGTTGTGGATGCATCGTAACTAGGGACAAAAGCAGCGATGCTAATTGGTCCTTCCCATCTAACAACAATTTCTACTAAATAGTACAAAAATTCTGGTGTTAAATGTGAACAGTATGTAACACTAGTAGAATTATTTTTAGGCCATGTTCCTTGCAGTACATTAAAAATTACTCGATAGGAACCCTTTTCTCCTAGTTCTGGACTAAAATTAATTTCACTGTCAGAGAGATCAAAATAATCAGGAAAACCCAATCTAAAACTACAGAAGCTTTCATTTGACGGTTTCATTTGTTTTAGGAAGGCACCAGGCGTAAATTGATTGTAGTTGTCAAATGATCTCCTGAAGAAAAAATTTGAGCCATCTAAATAAGGAAAGTTATACAACATTGATTTGATTGAAACATATTTTTTGTTTTGATATACCCTACAAACATACAAAATGCATAAGAATATGACAATATAAAGGAAAAATCTACTTCGAAAACTACGAATTACTAGCACCCAACATTTCATGTTTCAGCAGATTGGTTCAACTTAACCCAATGTGTTGTAAATTGAATCAATAGTATGAACAGTAGGAAAGTATTACTAATGTTTCCCCGTTGAATAACACGAGATCATAAGATGAGATGTTGCATTGTGGCTTATTTGACAGCACTTCACCAAAAGTAAGGCTTAACACAACTAAATGGCAATGGCAACAAAACCCAGTTTTAGCTTGCTGGTATAATGTGACAACGGAATTGCATCTTTATTCTTTTTTGCCTAATACGAAGAAACCTCAAACATCGATATGATAGAAATTATCAAAACCTTGATGTAACACAAAAGATATAAAAATATTGAGTTCGGTGTTGTTGATAGAAGTTCTCAGGGACGATTCGGTTCGGTTTCAATTTTCAATTCAATAAACAAAAACATCACATCAACAACACAACACAACAGCCGACGAAACGATCGCTGTGCTGACATAAGTCAGCTGAGAGCTGTCTGCTAGGTTTTTTTTATTCAGATGCTAGACTAATGCCAAAAACCCGATTAAGTTTTACCTATTCAGATATGTCCATTGATTATAGAGTGCTGCTATAGCGGCAACTAAGAACAGTTAACTATTTTCATTCTCGATCACAGTATTATCATCAGTCAACCACTTAGGTGCGCAATTTAAGCTAAACGACAATAAAATTTCACCGTAGTATGGATGATAGCCTCCGGGTTGTGAAGAATAACTAATAATAATGGTTTAAATACATGATTCGGGCAATCAGGTATTTAAACAATAATTATTCTTAGACAATACAATACATTATAAGAGTAGAGTCATAGAGTAAGATGGCCTGTGGTAGTTTGTATGATCACGCATGATCATGATATGTATAGCCAAGTGTATTTTAACAACATGCATTGACTATTGGATACTGAAGTTGCATTAATAGTAAAATCAACATGTAACAATTATTAAGTTAGATTGTTGATTATCTAACAACAATCTAACAACAAATCGATCATGGGACCTGTATGGAAAACACATAAAACATCAACCTTAATAAAGGAAAACTTTGACTTTCATCATATTTTGCTCGATATTTTAATACAAACAGTACTCTCAACTCTCAACCCATGGTAAATTTTGTTGCTCGTTTTCGTGTCTATAGTTGTTCATTTCCGGTGACACTGATCGCTATTGTTGACGAAATGTTGTTTATATTATTTTAGGGTTTATTTCTTGATTTTTGTTTGGCTATTTAGCTAGCGGACGAGTTGTTGTTTAATGATTGGATTATTTTTAAATTTAACGAAGGTTTAAATTACTGAAATAACAATAAACAAATTTGTAAACGACCTACGCACAGTGCACCGAACAGAACTAACAACAAATTTGGCTTGATAAATCTTAATTAACAATACAATTCATTAATTATTAATTAACTATTTAATTAATTATAAAATTATTATACAATTAATTAATTAACAATACAAGAAATCTTAATCGGAAACCCCTAGTGATCAAATCTAATATAAAGCATTATGATTGCGTTTATGTTTTTGTACGATTTTTCTAACTCAACTCCTTCTCATCTTTCGTTTATCAGAGTTATTTTAACTACTTTTTATTTGAAGTATTTGCTGAAACCCTTTAGAATAGCTAGTGATAACACATAGGCACTAACCAAAACATGTTTTAAATCTTACAAAATTTATATGGTGTAGTGATGGTCGGAAGGTAAATTAAATAATCTCATCATTCAATCTCAAACATTGTCCCCATTTAGCTCATTAAAAAAATGATCAAGCATAAAACGCTCATGCTTAGGCTTGCATTCAGAGAGGCATATTTTTGACAGTTTTACAATAGAGGGCGATAGACTTGATTCTGTCTCCCGAGCGCCGAGTCTCCCGAGCGCCGCGTCTCTCCAGCGCCGAAAGGGTTACCTGGCATAATCTGACAGTTTTGACAGTCGAATTGGAATTCACAAAAGCAACGGACCGCAGTAAAGTCGTGTGCCCAATTGAGCATTGTAGAGCCTCGATCAGCAGTCTATCTTGAATTTAGCCTTATATTACTAGAATGATTTGGTTTAACCACAAACAATAGACAATTATACTTTGTCTTTGGGTATACTTAGTCTATGGTTTAACATTACAAATCAAATCCAGTAATATAAAAAGCGGCCTTCTGGCTTTTTTATTTAATCACTTTTACATAAACAAAATTATGAACAACAAATGTTGAAAAATGAATACACACTTTAAACAAATTAAGGAACTATAGGAACTGATTTGTAATACAGTTAAACCAACAAATATATTCATTACTCTCCGGGGTACGAAATTAAGCAGGTGGCCACTCTTTACACTCTAAAAATCTACGGATCTAATCACAGACTGACATGTGAAAGAGGCGAGAACCTAATAAATTTGTCGTTGATAAAATATGAAAATAGAAAAAAATACCCGAACCAATAATTTAAATAAAATATGCAATAGGCCTAATTTGATTTTTTTTCCAAATTCAAATTGTATTTATTTTTAATTTTCCTATTTTATTAGTGAAAAAATAATTAGGGCCTCACCTCTCTCACTAGTATTTCAATGTTATTAGATCTGTGACAAAAAATCTAACTCACTATTTATTATAATACCTTTTGCAAGAACTTAAAACATTGAAATCCTTTTAAAATAAAACTACCACCCGTTATAATTTGGTATAACTATATTGCACATGCAATTATTTCATGCTAAGTTTAGAGCTGGCATTGTTATAAAAATAATATATTTCCAAGAACCTTTAATCTGCTAAACTCTTAAAGTAAAAATCTGTTTGCCTTCTACATTATTTATAGACTCATTTGTTTGTATGAAGTCATTGGGCATTAATATAGTCAATGATGAACTTGGAAATTAAAACACTGCCACAATTCAATTATGCTCGATGTTAAATAAGAATAATAATACTAGGCTGGAAACTAAATAATAAATTCAGTTTCTGTAAATGTTTGTGTTTTCTCCGTTATATCGATCTCATGATAACTTTACTACATTACAGTATTATCGAATTTACTGCGATCCGCACATCACCCGCGGCTTCATCCGGCACACACGTATGCTGTACTCATCGAAGTATATTAACACACATACTTTGATGGCCGTACAGTACTTCACTTCTCACTTCTTCATGTTGAATCAAAAGTTTCCTCTTGCACCCTCTTTTTTCTTTCACACACTGCCACACAACACTACCGTCCTTGTTGCACCTATTTTTTTCTGTATGAGTACTAACTAAACATGAATTACCCTTAAAAGGTCAAATTCCTATGCGGCGACTGATACGACTCCAGTCGCGCGGCTACGCTTGTCTTAATTCCTATGCCGCGACTCCCAAGACTAGTTGCAATTGCACTCTTGACCGTCATGGAATAAGTACAGTTGTAATATATTCGCTGCCAACTATACTTATTCCATGACACACAAAACCACTATCATGACACGCAATTGTACTGGTCACTAGTCTTGGGAGTCGCGGCATAGGAATTAAGACAAGCGTCTCGAGCCGGACGACTCTAGACAAGCGGCTAACAGTCGCAGGATAGGAATTGGATCTTTAGGTTTCGGCTAGTTCCGTTGCAACTAGTCACTGAACCTGTTAATACAAACTTTCCACTCCAAATGCCAAATTTTCATTTTTTCGCCCTGTTTGAGGGGTGGGGGCCTCCCCAAAAGAGTGTTTGGGATTTTTGACCCAACCACATTCCATGCGCCATTGCACCCCTAAGTTGTACTAAAAGCCAGTTTCAATGTGTTTTATCCTGTATTGTCCTTTATTTAACCTATTGACAACCACGCAACAGCTGTGAAGAAGGTATAATATGATGAAAATAGAAATGAATAATATCAAAAATATGTCCGTGCACTAATGAAACTGTTCTCATACCTATTGAAATTGTATTTTGAGTTTAATGAAATTATTATGATAAATATTGATTGCTTCACAGATTAAACTCATTGTAACCGGCATATTAAAAGAAAACGTATTAAACCTCGTCACTTCTGCATCACTGAGCAGACCCTTTGGTAATTTATTGCTTCGGCGCTCGGGATACTCTTTTGCCTTCGGCGCTCGGGAGACTCGGCGCTCGGGAGACGCAACGGATAGACTTTACCTCGATACGCCCAAATTCAGTGATATCAGGTACTTTCGGCAGCAGAATAAAGGTAGCCAATATAATACTATTGCCAAAGCTTGTGATTTTAAAATTAGGTTTTCTATCACCACTGTAAAATTTGAAGCATAGATTAAGAATTCAAAAGGGCATTATTATTTAAAGTCATGATGTAACTTACTCTCATAGAGTTATTAGGGTAGGTACATATTGACAATGATATGGCTATTTAATTTAATTTCACTTTAAGGTAATACTTTGCTATAATGTGCAATAGTTTTGTTGATAGGACTATATAGAAACTAAATAACTTCTTTTATTACTTAATTCTACGTAATCCATTTCACTGACTATCTGAAAAAAAAATCATATCATTATCCATACCTACCTTTAAATACTTTTAAAATAACAAAGGCAGCCTCTTATGGCATTACCATAGTCAATGCTTAAGTTATAAATTCCTTGTTTGTTTTAAATTTATCAGTATTTAAACTAGAACTATCATTTATGATGTATACATCTTAAAGCAAATTCTTTTAAAATTCATAAAAAATAGATTTTGTTTGTATAAAAAAATGAAAGTTAAAGCCAAAAGCCATATTTAATAAACTAAGCGCAGTTTTTGAAGTTTTTGGTTGTCTTCTAAATTAACATTTTTCATGTCTAATATTGTTTTTTTTTTGTTTTGCGAGATAGGCATGAACTTTGATAAATATTTAAATGGGTCTTGTGGGTGTTATCAAGATATCGTTTTATTGTGTCATTCGAAAACAACATGTTTGTAGTTTTCTTGCAACTGTGCTACAAAAATAATATTTTGGATTTAAATGTTACCAATATTTGTTAAAGAGGGCAAAGTTGGTAAGTTTTAGAATTAGAAATATTTTTTTCTAAATCAGTCAGTAATAACATAGTTTGCAAGGTACAACCTATGAGAAAAAAACACATTATAAATCTACATTTGAAAGCCAAATTTAATTGAATTTTAAGCCTTTTGTTCAAGTTAATTTTTGTATTATAATGATCTAAATTTTCATATAATTGTTTTACACTCCAATGTATGTCCATATATGTAGGTAACGTCATTTGAGAAGATATCATCTAAATAATTTAAACTAAATAGGGTCTGATCTGATGGGTCTGAACTGAACCTACAAAAATGTTCAAACAAGCAAGGTTGGTCTGATTATGAAAGAGTAGTTTAAGAGCGG